TACAGGCTTCCTTAATAACACAGTTATGAACATGAAATTCTATCACCTTATGAAATGGGAGTCATTTACTTGTTTAATTAAAACAAAAACAATTAGCTACTTATGAAAGCAATTTGTTTCCTAACTCCTGAACCTGTGTCCTGAACTGGCTGAAAAAACAAAAACAGCAACTACAGCTCATTCTTTCTGCTCTTCAACCTTAGCTGCTACTCAGGTGGCTCAATTTTGAAATTTCCAGGATCCAAATGCCCTGCCATGTCCTCTGAAGAAAGGAAGCTCTTTATGCAAAGTCTCCATTTCAACACCGATGAGCAGGTGTTGGAAGACCACTTCAGCATTTCAGGCCTATATCTGAGAGGGCCATTGTCAAGATCCAAGAGACTCAGCCATCCTGGGGTTTTGGATTTATCACCTTTATCAACCCAGAACATGCCTAAGATGCCGTGCGAGTGATGAGTGGCGAGTCCCTGGATGCTCTCCAGGTCTTTGTGGATCATGTGCACAAGTCAGCCCAGGGAACCAGAGGGGGTGCCTTTGGTGCTTGTGAGCATAGCAGCTGATCTGCAGGTGGTGGGGGCTAGGGTTGTGGGAGCAGCTGGTAGGTATGACACTGGACCTGGGGGATATGGTAGGTATGACACTGGGCCAGAGGTTACAGTGGCAGAGCCAGAGTGGTTATAACCTATTTTGGAGTAACTTAGAGACAACTAAGTCAGCTGAGATAAGGTGTGCACATATAACATACACAAGGAATAAAACTTCTTCTGATCCAGGATCTCCCTTCCAGGTGGCTGCATTTATAAAAGATTTTTGTTACTGCACTGAAACATCTTCGTTTCAGTATAACAACTTCTATTTTTTTTTAATTAAGTTTCCAAAGTAGCCTGTTAAAGTCCTTTTAGTAAACTCTATATGTTTTAAAAACTTTTTTCTCCCACTGAAAGACAAATTCTTTGACATTTATAGATTCTGGGTATTTTTCTTGTACCAGTTTTTATGTTTTTGTTTTTATAGTTTTGGTACTCAGGAAAATTCTGGCAAAAAGTTTCAGTCAAGCTGATCCTGCCCCCCACATTTTTCCTTTTTTAAAACATAATATCTAGGAACATTTAGAAGAAACCCTGCTGGCATAGTGATATGCGTTGTGTTGCTAACCGAAAAGTTAGCAGTTCGAATCTACCAGTTACTCTGTGGGGGGAAAAAAATGAGGCTTTCTGCTCCCATAAAGATTTACTGTCTCAGAAACCCTATTGTGCTGTAAATGTAAGTCCATTCAGACTCATAGTGACCATGGATAGGGTTTCCAAAAAGCGGCTAGTGAGCTTGAACCACTGACCTTGAGGTTCACACTGACCTTGAGGTTCAAACCGACCTTGCAGTCCAGTGCATTAAGCCACAGAGTCATACCAGGACTCCCCAAAACCCTATACAGGGTCACAGTAAGTCAACCAACTTGATGGCATACAACCACCACCAGTGACATTTAGAGTCCTGGTATGCTGCTGTAGGATAAGCAAACACTAGACTGCTAACCACAACATCAATGGTCCAAATCCATCAATCGCTCCATGGGAGAAAGATGAGGCTTTCTGCTCCTGCAAAGATTTTTAAAGCCTCGGAAACCCTATACAACGTCACTACAGACTCTGAACTGAAAACAACATGTTTCTTTATCATGGTTAGAAAATAATTTCCGAATGCACCTATAAGAAATCTGCATCAAAAATATGATTACCTGGAGGTTTTTTTTATTCAACATTGAGATCACCTTGATTATATAGAAGAACTTTAAAATGTTTTTGAGTATATATTTTTTTAATACTCGGAGGAGAAAAAAAACTTGTGTTTCAAGTAGTGTTTACAGTGTTTTTCATGGAGCCAATTTTTAAACTGAAATCCAAAAACAACAAAAAGTCATCTTTTCTTTTGCTAGCACGTTAGTACAATTAGATGACTGTTCAAGAAAAATAAAGTGTCTAAGGAATTTTGTTTCTGTTCATTATTTCCAGGCTGTGCTCTTTCTACTGTGCGTTTTAGGTGCTATAATTGCATTGTAAGAATGAACTCCAAATAAGATTGATGATTTGACTCAGTTAAATAATGAATCTACACAATCCAGGAAAGAGTTTTGTGCCGGATGTGTCTGATCAGAAAGTCTCAAGAAAGAAAGAGTGATTTATGTGAGAAAATTCGGTGCTTGCAATGATCTAAGCAGATATTTTTTTCAAAGTGCTTGGATATTCCTCTGAAAGAGGTACTGGCTTCAGAAGGACTAGAAATGACATCATTTCATTAAAATAGTGATTTTGCATGCAAAGAAATGCCCGTGTTCTCTTTGTTTCAAGTTCTTCTGCCCTAGAAAAGAACCCACATTTGAAGGCGGGTCCAAGGCGTGCCAGAAGCAGTCTCCTCCCTCCACATTCTTCTCCTCCTCGCTCAACTGCTTGGTCCCCAGTTTCCTCACCAGAAGGCAGCTGGATCCGGGTGAGCAGCAGCAGCAGCAGCAGCAACGAGAAATTAGTGTCCAATGCTTTCTGTCCTCCTGACTGCTGGCTTCCGCTGCTAAAGGAGCCAGCAACTTCTGCTATCTACATAGTCTCAAGAAAACGAAAGGGACCGTCTAGATCGCTCCCTCTCGTGGGAAACTCTTGGGCATAGGTAAGAAAAACCATTCCTCTGTATTTGAAAACCCGGACATAGCAATTTAGAGATAAGTAAGCCAGAAAAGTGATTGAGAGGAATTTGAATCCTCTATCACTGTGATTGACAACAGAAACATGAGTAACAGACAAAGTCAGAATAGAAACGATTTTTCTCTCTTCTGTAGAACATTGGAAAGTATCACTTTAGAGCTCTCGACGTTCTCAAACTTTTTAATCTCAGGACTCCTTTACACTTGTAAAAATTATCCAGGACCCCCAAGAGGTTTCTAAGCTATTATATTACTGTAGTTCACTGTAGTAGAAATTAAGACCGAACATTTAAAAATATTTACTTATTTTAAAATAACAATAAACATCACATATTAACATAAATCAAATAATTAAAAATAACTATATATTTTTTAAAATCTAGTTTGAAGAATGACATTTTTCACTTAATGTCTGGCTTAACAGAAGACAGTTGGAGTCTTATTCTGCTTTTGCAATTTGGCCTATTACAATATGGCACAAAGTGACCTCTAGTAAACTTAATCATGAAACAACGAGAGAGAAAAAGATAAATAACATCCTAGAATTTTATTATGAAAATAGTTTTGACCCATGGACCTCCATAGAATCACTACTTTAAAATGATTCGATATTGTTGTTAAGTGCTGTCAAGTCGATTCCACCCATAGCGACCCTGTATAGGGTTTCCAAGGAGCGGCTGGTGAGCTTGAACTGCCGACCTTGCAGTTCAAATGGCTTTGCAGTCTGACACATTAGCACACAGCACCACAACAAAATGATTAGATAATGGTCTCTTAAAGGTGTCTCAACTCAAAATCAATCATATAAAATAAAATAAACACTTTTCCAAGTTTAATAATATTGATGAAATCTGCATCTCCACCCTTGGGTTGTGCTACAATTGGACAATAGTATAGTCGTCTCAAGAAGGTCTTTTGTTTTGTTTTGTTTTTAATGAAGAAATATCTAAACAAGTATATCTATTTTGAACTAGGACTAACAAAAAGTAGGACACTCATTATTTGGGAGAAAGATGAGACTATCTACTCCTGTAAAGATTTGCAGTCTTTATAGGGTCACTCCCAGTTGGAATCGCTAAGTGGCAGTGCTTTTGTGGTTATTCACTGCCATCTACCTGTCTGTGACTCATGGTGACCTTCTGTGTACAGAACACAATGTTGGCTGGCCCTGAGTCATCTTCATAATTGTTGATATGTCTGACTCCTTTGTTAAGGTGCCATCCAATCCGTTCCAACTCACAGTGACCCTGTATAGGGTTTCCAAGGAGCAATTGATGGGTTTGAACTACCGACCTTGCAGTTAGCAGTCCAATGCTTATCCTACAACAACACATCGGGACTCCTTGTTATGACTTTGGGATACCTTTAAATGCCTCTTTTTCTATTTCAAGTGCTAGTAAATCTTCTCTGAAGATATCTTTTTTTATCTGACTTGTTTATAATATTCCTATCATGTGAATTATTATAGTAGCTTCATAGTCCGTGTGTACTGTCTTTTAGAATGTGCAACTTGCTAGCTCTGTAACCTGTAATGTATTCCCATTGCCTATGAGATAAGATTCAAAACTTTTCAACAGTACTTTCAAAGCCTCACTCCCTAACCCAAGCCCACTTTACATTGTGTTCACTGTTTCCCAGCAGAACTGTTCCCCTACAGTAACTAAAGGGCTCCATTCAGTCCACCCCACACTGCAATATTGTTTTGATTATCACATAAATGATCTTTTATGCTCTGTGTGTCTACCAAATCTTAACCATTCCTCTCTCCATCTGTTCAATTCTTAAGCTTAGTTTAAAATTCAATTCAATTCACTTTCCTACCAAGGCCATTATTCCACCAATATCAATTTCATTTTTTCTTGTTTTGTGGTTTTTAGTACTTGACTATGTATTTAACAGTTGGTTAAGTATACCATTTATTTATTTATTCAATTTTACCATTATTTTTAACTATTTAATTTTTTAAATCGCCATTCCTCCCTACCCTGGGCATTTTAATATAACAAGATTGCAGATAATTTTTAACTCACCTTTATAGTTCAGTTTGATAATAGGCTACTTTATAGCACTGTTTCAATTAGAAAATGCTTCTCACATCCAAATATTGAATGATTTGCAAGAGAAGATTTGGAAATAACCCTGCAGTCGCAGTCATAAGCTGAAGACTCTTAGCATTCATTAATTATCCATAGTGTTCATCAGCATACTGATGAAACAGTGACTTCTGAATTTAGAGACAGTACAAAGTTACAAAGAAACAATCACTACCTCTTACCAGATGATTCTTTGCTTTCCTTAGGGAAAAAAGATGGCTTCTGAACCAGTGGAAGACAACTGGATCAACTTAATACAAATGAAATTTATTGACAATACACTTTACTTTATACGTAAGTCAAAAACAATAGGCTAAATACATATTTCAGAGAAATGAATTCAGAAAATGAATTTGTGAGGTAAACAAGCACCTCCCTTTCATCACCAACTTCCAATGTAATATTAATGGCATTTTTCTCTGGAAAAAAATTATTGGGCCTTTAGATACAACATGTCTGAGATCCCAGTGCCTTGCTGCAGCTCAGATCCTAACTATTCAATTAATAATAGCCTACTTATAAGTTGGTAGCAGGTGCATGTCATAAAAATTCTACAAAACTGGGTACATTTAGAAGATACTGTCTCCCAAAGCAAATTGGCAGCTTACAAAAGAAATACTTGAAATCTAGAATTCTGTGAGTGAGGTATATCATCTTATGTAAAGATACTTAACAAATTAAAATGGATTCTTATGATTAATCTTCCATGAGCAGTTCTTCCATTGAAAGCTTGGCTTCATTTGAATGCTTCATAGAAAATCCTTAAGTAACTTTCCACTAAAGCAATAAATGTCTGAACAAAATCAATCACTTTAAAATATCCTTTTATCTGCAGATTTAAATTTATAAACCGGATTTAAGGCTTTATATCTAAATTTCCTTAGAATGTACTAAATCTAATGGGTTTTGCTTTATGGAACCTTTAAATTAATTATATAATATTTCTGATGGAGGCCAACAAAGGCCATCACAGGTGGATAGAGGTTAAAGAATGGAGGAGAGGGTGGTAAAGAGTGATTTTGTTTTTTTAATAGTAAGGGTGAAAGGAGGTTCTGAGTGGAAATCTAGAATTTAATATATTTTTTCTCTTTTTTCCTCTTCAGCTGAAAATGATGGTAAAGTATAAATTTATTTCTCTTTCTTTGCTGTTTGACCAGCATTTCACAGACACATACATACCACTATTCTCAGATGGCAAAAACTGTCCACATAGTAACTTGTCTATTGGGAAGCTAATCTTTCCTCAAGAGACTATGAAACCAACAATGATGGAATAAAGGAGCCCATAAGTGATTTTAAAAAAAAAGAACCTCTAATAAAATATGTGCCTCTGCATCTTAGGAAATCCTAAAGCTCTTAGAAGCTTCAAAATCAACCTTAACTATTACATAGGTCTTAAATTTAGGATGGAGTCATGTATTCTCTGTAGGGAATAGGAAAGGGGGACTGAAACATTAGAATTATTATCCAAAATCAAGAACATCAACCTCCTTTCTCAGAAATGCTTTAAAAAGATGCCTGGGGGATTCTAAGAAGGCAGAGAATTCTGGAAATAGAGGAGATGGAGAAGAGTTGGGCAAGGGGAACTTTGAGGTTGCATCACTAAATCTTGATGAACCCCTTAAGCAGTTGGCCCGTCTTGTATCAGGTAGGATCATACCCACATCTAGCCTTTGATCCTTTAGCAGATTCCCAGGTTATTAAAGGGCATTAGTTTCTAATATTGTTTTCCTTAAGAATAGCCATTTCTCCATTCTTAAGGTTATCCTTCGTTGTCGTAAAGTGCCGTCGAGTCGGTTCCGACTCATTGTGACCCTGTGCAGGGTTTCCGAGGCCGTAACCACTACGCTTAAGTTACGAATCCGGCTGCGAACCACAAGGTCAGCAGTTCGGAAAAAAAAAACTACCAGCTGCTCCACGGGAGAAAGAGGAGGCTTTCTGCAACCGTAAATATTTAAGGCCTCGGAAACCCTGCACAGGGTCGCTATGGGTCGGAACCGACTCCACGGCACATAACAACAACAACAAAGGTGATCCTTATTAGGCTATACTAGTCCTTGGTGCTTATTAAAGATTGAACTATATTAATTTAATTCAACATACACTGGCGTCTGTATTCCAGACACGATGTTGAGCACTAGAATTAAATGATGAGCGAAATGCAGTACCTACCAGAGAAGCAGGCACATAAGAAAGGCAAATGGAATACGGTAAGATGTATCTTGCACAGGATGATGTGAAAGATACATCTTACCATATAGATAACTCAGTCCAACAGACGCTTTGAAGAAGAGTGACTTGAAGCGCCAAGATAAAGTGTCCTAAACAGAAGACAACACACAAAGTCCAAAATATGAACAAATACATGGCATGGATGAGAAATTAAAAGTAATTCAAAATGGTTTGTGTGTAGAGTAGGAGTAGGAGAATAATGAGAGAAGCTAAGAAAAAGAGTGTAGACATCAAGAAGGTTATTTTATTCCAAGCAATGTAATTTGGGCCTTACCTTAGATGTAACAGAGAGCCATTGTGACATAGTGTTGTTGTTAAGTGCCATCTCATCAGTTCTGACTCATAATTACCTTGTATGGGGTTATTGAGGCTTTAAATCTTTACAGGAGCAGAAAGCATCATCTTTCTCCCACAAAGTAGCTGGTGGACTCGAACTGCCTACCTTGTGATTCAAAGTACAGTGTTTATTGTTTAGCGCCACTGCGCTCCCTTAAGCATGGTATGTATTAACTAAGATGCAGATTCATTTGCTACCACAACGAGATCTAAACAATAGAGGCTAAAATTAGAATAATAGATATTTTTTCTCTCAAAAAAAAGTCAAACTAGGCAGTTCAGGACTAGTGTGGCTGATATGCAGATTGATAATATTGGGATCTCAGGCTTCTTCCATCTTGTTACTCCTTTATCCTCAAGGGAGCGGAATACATTCACATAGTTTAAAATCATTACCATGCTTCCTAGGTCCATTCCCAGCTAGTGAGAAATAGGTAGAGATGAAGGAAGACAAGTTCATTCCCATTAAGGCTCTGCTTTGGTGGTGGTGTGCCATGGAGTCAGTTCTGACTCATAGTGGCCCCTGCATAGGTTTTCTGAGGCTGTAAATCTTTACTGTAAATCTTACTCCCACGGAATGGCTGGTAGTTTTGAATTGCTAAACTTGAGGTTAGCAACCCAACTCGTAACCACTATACTACCAGAGCTCCTTAAGTTTATACATATCAATTCCATTCATATTCTACTGACTAGACTTTAGTCACATGGACACATCTAACTGCAGGAAGTCTGGAATATATTATGCTTAATTCTAGGTGGCTATGTGCCTTGTTGGAGTCCTCGTGAGATGCTGTGGGATAATGCACTGGATCACAAGGCCAATTTGAACCGCAAGGCTGGCAGTTCAAATTCCCCAGCCACTCCTTGGAAACCCTATTCAGGGTTGCTATGAGTCAGTACCAACTCCACAGCACTTAACAACAACAACAACAACAATGTGCCTTGTTAAAATTCATAGATAACATGTTCATATTTTTATATTTTTTAAATATCCTAGCTTCAAAATAAAGAAATTGGTGGGTAGAAGGCAAAAAAGGTGGGGAATGCTAGTTGAGAGGTAATTATTGCAATCCTTATAGGAAATGATGGTGGTATGAATTAAGATAGGTACTGTAGGATGAAGAATTATTATTAATGAGTTTTAGACATATTTAAAAGAATAATCAGGACATGGTTTGGGGTTGAATATAGTTGTTGTTGTTGTTAAGTGCCAGATGGGAAAGAAGGCAAAAAGGATGACGCGTATGTTTTTCACTAAGCAGTTTATACCATTCAGTGGAATAGGAAACACAGGAGAATTAGAAAAAGTTTAATATGCAAAGAAAAACAGGATTATAGATGATGAATGTGTTCTTAGATTTTGATATGTGGGACATCCTAGTGGAGATGTCCAGTAGACTGTTAGACATACAGATGTGAGCTCAGGATGAAGATTTGGTTGGAAATACAAATGGCAGGAGATTTACGGCATCCAAAGTTATAGGGATAAAAAGATTAACCTAGGAAAAATGTGTAGAGTGTGAAAATAAAAGTCAAAGATTAAACTCTGAGAAAAGCCTTCACTTAAAGGATACAAAAGAAAGTGAAACTAATAAAGGTAGACTAACCAAAAGGGAAGAAGAAAATCAAAGACAGTGTTATGTCATGACTGAAGAGTATTTCAAGATGAAGATAATACACAGTTGAATTTTGCAGTCTTGAAAATTAAGGGCCATAAAACACCTATTCAATTCTGCAACAAGGACTTTGTTGATCTTGGTGAAAGCAATTGATGTAGAAGTGTACACAGAAGCAAATTGCCATGAATTGAAGAGTAAATGGAAATTAAGGAAATAATACAGTTTTCTATTACAAGTTTGGCTATTAAAAGGCTTTCACTAGAGAGGGATAGGGTTGACCTAATATAGCAGACTAATGTGATGGTGGAATTCTGGTGTTGAGCTGTAAGATAAGCACTAGACCAAAAGGTCCGTTAGAACCATGAGGTTGGTGTTTCAAACTCACCAGCCACTCCTTGGAAACCCTATACAGGGTCATTATGAGTCAAAACCAACTTGATAGAAGTTAGCAACAACAACAACAATGTGATGACTGGAACTGTGGTTGCCTTGGCAGGGCCAGACCAAATGATTTTGCAGGTCATGGGTTAATGCACTGAACTGCACAGTCAGTTTGAATGGCAAGGTTGGCGATTCAGGCTCACCAGCCACTCCTCAGAAACCTTATACAGGGTCACTATGGGTCAGAACTGACTCGACGGCACTGAACAAGATATAGCCCGTGAGCTGGACATTCCCCACCCCTACTTTAGGATCAGATTTAGGAAGTAAAATTGCTAGCTTGGTAGAAGAGAAGGTGCTGGTGGTGGTGTGTCGAGTCAGTTCTGACTCATTCTGACTTCTGCTTTATGGGAGCAGAAAGTCTCTTCCTTCTCCAGTGGAGTAGCTAGTAGATTCAAACTGCTGACTTTGTAGTTAGCAGTGCAACTCGCAACCCACTATGCTGCCAGGGATCCTTAGAAGAGAAGGGATAATTGGTATATAGAGGCCCCAATAGGAAGAGCACAGATGAGATTAACCTTATATACCAGGAGTGGTATCTTTTCCATATTTTTCCTTGGGACAAGAAGTACAGAGGAAGTTACTGGCGGTACCACAGTTAAACGTATCATTGGAATTGTTGTTATGCTCTATGGAATTGGTTCCAACTCATAGTGGCCCTGTAAAAGGTTTCCGAGGCTGTAAATTTTTATGGGAGCAGAAACCTTCATATTTCTCCCTTGGAGTGGCTGGTAGATTTGAACTGCTGACCTTGTGCTTAGAAGCCCAACTCATAACTCACTGTGGTACCAGCGTTCCTCTTGGCATTGGAGTAGCAGTAAGCTATTCCCTGAAAGTGAAAGAAGTTGTGATATATAAAGATACTGAGGAAAGTGAAGAAGGTTTGAAATTGTAGCTAAAGGCTGTGAGAGAATGTCACTGAACTGAAAAACAAAAGGCTAAATGGGTGGAACCAGTTTGCATAGGTATATATTTTTCTCAGCAGCATTCAGTCAGATTTGGAGTTTTATAGTAGAAAGACAAATTATTTTGGGATTTAAGATGTTGGTGAAAGAGCAGATGGGATCTAGGCTGCACAGGGACAGAAGGGAAGACAGGAAGAGATTGTTAGGTTGGAAGGCAATACAAGAGTGAGGAGAGTAGAGGACTCAGTGACACCTAAGAATGTGTTGTTGTTGTTGTTAAGTGCTGTTGAGTTGGTTCTGACTCATAGGGTTTCTGTGTGGATGGTGACTTTGAACCGCTGACCTTGTGTATTCTACAGCACCACACCAGAACTCGAAGACATATATGCTGCTGCTGCTGCTGTTAAGTGCTGGCTAGTTAGTTCTGACTCACAGTGATCCTGTATAGAGTTTCCAAGGAGCAGCTGGTGGGTTTGAACTGCTAACATTATGGTTCACAGTCCAGTGCTGACCCTACAGCGCCACACCAAGACATGTATTGTTGTTGTTGTTAAGTGCCGTCTAGTTGGTTCTGACCCATAGCAACCCTGTTAGAGTTTCCAAGGAGCAGCTGGTGAGCTTGAATCAACGACCTTGAGGTTCAGACCGACTTTGCAGTCCAGCGCATTAATCCACAGCACCACACCAGGTACAAGTGAAAATAGGAGAAAACAAAAAAGGCAGAAGATTATGGTCAGAAAGTAAGAATTTGTGGTTTCAGAGAGAGTATTTCTTAGTGATGAAACAGATGAAACATTGAAAGTGGTTAAAAACAACAGTCCTCTTCATCATAGATGTTTCTGTAACAAGATTGCAATTAGTAATTCCTAAAAACTTAAGTGTATGATACACTTATTTGTATATTTTAAAAAATAATAGTATTTAATGTATATTATAGAAGACCTGGAATCGGATCATTTCAGTAATATTGAACCTTCAAGATTTGCAATCATACGAAATTTGAGGGACCAAGTTCTCTTCATTGACCAGGGAAAAGAACCTGTGTTTGAGGACATGCCGGATTCTGACTGTCTAGGTAATGGGTTTTTTGTGTGTGTGTGTGTGTTTTTTACATATTTACAAGCTTAAAAATGACTAGCTATATTTTCCCATTCTATTTTACTGCCTATGCTTTTTTATACTAGACCCAGTGTTGTTGTTAAGTGCCGTCAAGTCTATTCCGACCCATAGCGACCCTTTATAGGGTTTCCAAGGAGCAGCTGGTGAGCTTGAACCACCAACCTTGCAGTTCAAATGACTTTGCATTTGACTGACGCACTAGCCCACAGTGCCACACCAGGACTCTACTACTTCGATGAAAATCTCAAGAGTAGGAATAATTCTACTTGCAAAAAAATTTATATTTTGTAATTGACATGAAAAATTGGATACAGTAAATACATTGCTAAATATCGTGCCACTCTAAGGTTACATTGGATCATCATGCCCTTCACTGTAATTGCATAAACTGTATATATAGAGTTGGATCCTTAATTCCTGCTGCTTATAGCTGAATATGCTAAATTGTTGTTGCTAAATGCATTGATTTGGTGCTGACTACAGTAACCTTGATTAGGGTTTGCAAGGCTGTAAATCTTTGCAGGAAGCAGAAAGCCTTATCTTTCTCCCATGGAGTGGCTGGTGGGCTCAAACCATGGCCCTTGGAACATACTAAATAGCATTTTCAAAGCTCAAAAGGAGAACTAAACATACAAATATTTCAAATCAGTCTGTTTTCCACCCTTAAAGTGCCTTAAAAAATGAGTAAGTCTCTTTGTCTTCAAAAGTATATGAATTCCAAATAGCAGTGTTCTAGGCTGGAGGGTTGCTGACTAGACAGCACTTAACAACAACAAAGCAGAAGTGAAACAATGGTTTTCTTGGAAAATACTGAATTTTTACCTTAGTAAATAAAATAGTAATATTTTTATTAACATTCAAAAGTTAAAGATAAGTCATAAAAGGGCAAATATTATATGATCCCACTTAAATGAAATGGGCAAATGTATACTGATAGCTTATCAGTGGTTACCAGAGGTGACAGGGCTCAGGCATGTGGGAATCATGACTTAAAGGGCACTGGGTACCTGTTAGCAGTGGTGGCATCATTTAGTTGCACAACATAATGAAAGTCATCAATGTCACAGAATTATACATGCAACAATTATTGAATTGGCTAATGTTTTCTTTTGTATTTTTACCACAAAAAAAAGTTAAACACAATCTTTTAAAATTCAGAATATCTTTACAAGATTCACACAGTTGTT